GTAATTCGCAGCCGTTTCTTGAGCAATTTTTAGACCGACACGGGGTGAAATCGTTTTTTTCAAAAAAATCCGGATTTTTTACGTAGATCGAAAAACCGACCCCAGTACGTTCATAAACTCATCAAACAGTGTCTACAGACCAAAAATGAAGGACTTTTATTTTTTGACTGTGACCGCCCCGTGCTCGATATTTCTGGACAGTCGCTCTTAATACCATGCATTGTTTAATACTTGTGATGTCTATTATATGATTCCATTTGTCCTGCTTAGCAAATCAGTCATTAAGATACACATATTTTATTGGTTTTACTTCTTTGTCTTTACAACTGAAAAGCAAACTATTTCTGATTTCAATAACTCATGAATAATTCACACGAAATTAATTAGTATTTGATCCGATTGTAGCGACTATACACATCACGTGCATGGACCTTTAAAGCCCATAACGTCCTCTCTTTCTTCCCTAAGTAAGGGAGAGAAAGCTGCGCGACGAAACTAATAGCGGCTGCGTAGGAGAATACATCAAGTTCAGTCTCACTAAAAATCAGCGACCATTGTCTAGCGCCCCTGTCTTGTCTTTGGCATTCTGTATTCAGCTTGTGGGAGCCTTTTTGGAATGATTGTGCATGACAGAGATGCATGACAAACTCCTATCGATTTTTTTCCTGCAGCTGTTCAATGACCGTACAAGAATTTCTTAATATTCTCCACTTGGCTTGGATTTTTGTCTTGGATTTTAAACCCATTAAAAATGTATTAATGATTCTTGAGGAAAACAAACCAGAAATCTTGATCGTACAGTGTCTTATAATCAAACAGTTCAAATACATTGAGAATGTGTATGCTGTTACAGTCAACTCATTACCTGAATTGCTCCAGAAGTAAACAGTTGCTCTATGATTTTCACTTCTCTTTCAGTCAAACCCTCGTGTAGGAATGCAATTCCACAGCTCACTGTCTCTTTGAGTGTCTACACAATAAATAATGAGATAGATATCTTTTAAATATTATGTTATAAAATATTTGAAATATGAGAATAGGAGAGAAAGCAGCTCACTCAATTACGTTCAAAATGTTTATAGTAGCAAAATAAAACACCTACTTAATATGTTTCTGATATATACACATCGGAAGTTGCGGAGCTCTTGAGAAGCAAGAGAAACACTCAGGTATGCCTTGTATTCCTAAAATTGCTTCCCCACAGCTCCCAGCTTGTTTATATCACGGTTAATGAATTTATGGATTAATAAAAGAAGATAATAATCCTATTGTAAGTATTAACCTTGTCATCAAGTCTCTTGAGGAATGGTTGCAAGTCTTCTTCAGTACAATGCAGAAACCTAACAACCAAAAAAATAAATAAAAATTACATTTTTGTTAAACGTCAAACACTTTTCAAAAAGAAATTTAATATCTTGTTAAAATCAAAAAGACTTCTGGGTTTGTTAGAATCAAATAGTTGTAAAATGAGAGTAGAATACAAACTAGCATATATCATAATTATTTGAGTGCTGGGAATTTATTTGTAACAGACACTACTACCTACCTTTGTCCATCACTATCAGCACCCCCAAAAGTCACAAGGTCTAATGCAAGCAACTTTGTCTGCCTTCTTGATGGAACAAAAATAATGACTGGCTTTCTAGGTGAGTGCTTAACGATTGCTTGGTAGGATGGCTTTGTCATGGCAATGAGACGTGATGCTGTGTGGGTTATGTTGAAACCTTGGATGTGTAGCTCTAAGGGCACTGGTCTGACATTAGGATGAAAGTTAAACAATCCTGTTGAACTGACACCAAGCCATTGAGCAACATCCTAAACAATCACAGCAAATTGTATTACAAATTGAATTATTTTTACTTTGAATTACATTCCTTTTAAAATGACATGATGAAATTTTAGAGTACTGCAAAATATATAAATCAAAGGCCATTTCATAATGCTTTATCAAAGTTTTACAATGCATGTAGTAGTGAAGTGAAGACACTCGAAAAGGCAAATACCTAAGTGTGAAACTATTGTCAGGTTTTGAAAAATACAACATAAAACTTGAGCCCAAAAGTTCAACTGGGATGGCATAATAATTCAGATCTTTTCATGCGAGCTAGGCAATTCATATCATTATAACACCAATCTGCATAGCCTTGAGTATTTATGCTCTTATTTCTATTTATGTTAAAAAATTATGAATAATAAAATGAGAAGGAAAAAAAAAAACAACACACAACAGTAAAAAGGTCTCCCAAATTAAGTCTGTAAATCGTTTGTATTTCTGGGGGTCATACGCTATGCCTACCCCCAGACATACGAACGTTAGTAAATTTGCCAATTTTGAACTAATTAAAAGTTTTCTAAGCCGATATAACACATGACATACTAAATCTTTGTAGGGTCAATAAAGGTGCTTCCTCTAGTGCTGCTGTTGGATTCTAATTCTAACTCATTGGAATTTGCAGCAGCCATTTAGGAAAAAGGGTCTATATTTGCATCCTATCTGTATCAACTCATAGAACCACCTCACCTCTACCTTTGCCTTGAAGCAACGGAAATAATTTTTAATGATAAAAAGGCAAAAAATAGACAGAAACTGGTTGCAAAAGTTAAAAACGATACGGGTGGAAGTGAGATGGAAAGGAGGAATCAAAACTACTTTTTTTTAAAGAAATGAGTAAAAAATGACAAAAAAAACCCAAAAACAAACAAGCATATTAATGTAAAAAAAGAAACATACCTTTGCATTAGCCAGAGAAGAGCTCAAAGCCACAATTCGAATATTTCGTTCCAACTGTGATGAGATGTAGCGCATACGAGAACAAATAATCTCAATCTCAGGCTAACAAAAGACAATAACAAAAGCTGGTTAGTATACAATCATCTGCATAGTAAAAATTGTAAAAGACATCCTACTCTAAATAAGCTAAATTCCATTACATAAACAGTAAAAAAGAACAGTATAGCTACAGATATTAAATCAGTCTATAATGCACATTTCTTTTTATATTCTTTTCCACACATATCACAATACTTACTTTATAGAACTGTTACGCTAAATTAAGACATAGAGTTAACTATAATAACAGATATCAGAAGTACACTATTGTCTTCAAACAATTATTTCAAATCAAGGCATTTTGGTCAATACAATGAATGTAAAGAAACTGACCCAAATGTAGCAATCGTCTGGAGGCAATAGAGCGTAACTCCGATATCTGCTATTGATCTGAACCACAAATCTAGAAACTTATTTTGACTTACTCCTTTTTCTCCTCCAATCAAATGTGCTTCGTCCATTATGAATAAATGAACATTTTGGACATTCTTTCGTTGTTTCCACCTCCTTGACAAAATGTCCCACTTATCTGGTGTACTCATTATGATATGACCCTGAAGATATAAGCATATTAAGGTTTCTTTACAAAATGCACATCAACAACATACATATATGTCTCATCTATTACATGAGATTTTTGCTACATCTTTGATGAAACAGATGTTTAATTTCGTGAACAAACCCAATTCTACAGCAAGACAAACTTCTGTATTCCTGAACCATGTATAATTGTTTGTTTTACCAAAAATTGTCAATTTCTCTCACTCTGATTGGCTATTTTTCATTTTTGATAGAGAATAAACCGAAAAGCTGATGTAAACGAGTGAGAGCTCTTTCAATTGGTTGATTTGATTACTAAGAAAACATCAAAAAGATGCGTGTTAATGAATTTTTTTGTAGTACAAAAATATCGATGGAATGGTGTCAGCAGTTCCACATTAGTTTGGATCATAGGCTGACACCATTCCATGTTCGATAAGAGCATAGACCATACATCAATCGCCCTTTGGCGAACTCGTGGATACTTGTTGCACTTTTCGAAGATTGGTCTTCCCGTGCCCTCCTTATGCTTGTTGCCATTCTCAAAGGATTCCAAATATTTCACTCGATTTAATATTTTAAATACTCAATTTATTATCTAGTAAGATGAGTAATCATACAGCTTCTTATTAATCCCATATAGGTAACTGTCTAATTATTTTCTTAATTGGACATGTCTTGTTGATATGGGATTAATTAGGCAGCTATATAATTAATAGGTAATGGGATTTCATGCTCCTCAATCAAGAAATAATTAGACTCGAAAAATTCCTCTGACTGCCAAATTGGACTTTTTGTCAGTCCTCGGAATTTTCCTCATCCAATTATTTCTTAATTGGATAGCATTTATTTCTTAATTGGATAGCATGGAGTCCTATTACATGTACTAATCGTCCTTTTTATTTTCCTTTTATCACCTAGTTCTTTGTTATTTTGTTGAGTTTGGAAGTGAATTCTGCGATGAATTAATTGTCTAAACTTCAATTAATACGAAAGACGACTTCGACTACGACTTCGACTACGACTTCGACTACGACTTCGATGGCGTCAACTGAGTCAAGTATAGAGTATAATTGGAAGAAGATCTATTTGAAAACGCTTTCTCTGTTTTTAATTTCAAAGGCGGGCTGTGTGTTTTATTCCAGGAATCATTCCATCTACAAGCTCAAACCTGAATATACAAGATAATCGGCCGTTTATGATATAATATCAGGACGATCAAAATAAAGCGTTGCATTATGCGTGTTGATTTACATTACTACTTAACTTGACCTTCAAGGGTCACAGCTCCTACATTAATTTGTTGAAATTTGTTTAGAAATGCTATTTATTTTGTCTTCATCCAAGTCTGTAAATTAATGATTATTTATTGGAGCGAATTCTCGTTAGACCTTCGCACATTTCAACATACAATCTGAGCATTGCTTTGGCTGTTTGTAATCTTGTAATGTGTGGTGATCAATCTGCTTTTTATTCAGAACAGCTTATTTAAATGACAAAACTGGCCGAACTTCCTTCAAAACTCCATTGGAATTGTTCTTTTTTTCATCTTTTGCTATTTTTTCGTACATCTACATTGATTATTTTCTTAAGAAGTCACTTACAGTAAATACGACTGTTGATTATAGTAATATTAAAACTTCGCTCGATCGAGTTTATGAGATTTTTTTGCTGAATACCGCTGTGACTTTGAGCTGTCTTTTATATCGAGAATAAAGTGGAACATCATCATTTCATTTCCTCATATTAAATATCAAAGTAATCTATATTTGTATAAGAGCTTTGTGCTTTTTAATGTCATGTAACGTTCATAATCAGATGACGTAAGTCGATCGGTTAAACGTTTAATTATCGATCTGCTAACATCGTGAGTGAGCGAGTGACACATTTGCATATTCAGACCCCTCACAATAACTCGTTTCTAAGCTTCGTGTATCCACGAGTTAATTTGCTAAATTGATAGAAGTAATAAAAAAAAATCCATTGCTGTTTAATGTCAGAGAACACAGAATATCAAAAAACGCAGGAAATTGCAATACCTGTTTACAAAAATGCTACGAGAGCCCAGTCAAGAGCTTCCTACACAGGCATTCTTAGGCTATGAACATCTGCTTAYTTGAGCAGAACATTCCTTTCCAATGGTTATCATAGTCATATTTTATGTCAATTTTTATTGTTTATCAAGGAGCCAATCAAAATCCTTGATAGAAATTCCTTGCCAACACCAAAAAATGCAGAGTCCTGTCAAATTTTGAGGTGATATCATCACGGCAGGATTCTCTGACATTCAAAACATCGAAACATAGCTGAAGAATAAATTAAATAAATTAARCTAAATTAATTCTTCAGTAGCATTGCATTGTGAAATGTGAATTATATATTATTTCTGATTCAAAAAACTTGATAAGAGCTTAGGTGTTTAATTTTGAAAACATTCCATACAAGGGATGCCATTTTTGTTGTTGAGAAGTCAAAGTCTTGATTGACCAATCAGCATGACTCTTCTCAATCTTAAGATGTTGATTGGTCAATTTTTGGAAAGGAATATTCTGCTCATGTGCACAGTCACGTTTGTGGGGAGCAAAACATTGCGTCAGAGACCCCTTATGACATCTGCATATTATAAGCTTTTAGTGAGCTTTTAATCATTCGTAAGGGTTTCAAATGGCTAATGATGAGTAAATGGTTATTTCTTTCTTCCATTTCCCTAACAAATCTTACATGTGGCTAATATAAAAATAATAAACACCATGAATGCAAGATACCAGAGAGGGGGTGGGGTTAGAACTGGAGAAATATATGCCAGTAAATAAATATTAGGCTTTAACAGAGAGACTTATGACTGAGTTTTTATGTATTCACAAAATAATACATTGAAATTCCACAGGACATCACTGGAAATGAGATTGGTAATACATAGGGTATAGCAGTTATATAAAAATGAGACTAGCCTTTGCAAGAAGTTTCAGGTCTGCACTTGTTTCTCCAGTTAATAGTACAACATTTTTGCCCAAAAGCAGACCAAACTTATTCTGCCAGTCAGAATATACCTGTGGATGTCACAAAAAAAAAAAAAAAAAGATCATGGCTATCTGCTTTGCATAATCATTAGGGACCATACATTATTGATTTGTGGGGGAAACCTAGAATATACTTAAAGAAAAATGAGAATTTGAAACATGGAATTGGTTTTTCAAATTTTTGCAGGTGTTACCTATATCATTCCTTTTTATAATTATGGGACCTGAAAATATTTGGCACCAGCATAATATGTTTTGGCTTAATTTTTGTCAGTCAATAAGTGAGTGAGTGACACATTTGCATATTCAGACCCCTGACAATAATTTGTTTACACTCTTCGTGTAAGTATGAGTTAAAAATCACAGATAAGCTCTTTATTAATGATGAGTTGCAACATTTGTAATGTATGTAGAATGTTTATTAATTTTAATAATACAGTAAAAACCAACATAAAAGAACAAGTGGGTTAAGAAGACCCAGCCTGAATTTGGGCGTTTTAAGTACCATGTAAATAAGAACACAATCAGCCTGAAAAATTAAAAAGTGTTCTTAAAAAAAATAAGATCAATATTACCAGTAGCAGACTCCAAGCCTGACCTGACTTTAATTTACTTTTCTACTGTTTTGATACAGTTATTATTGCAGTCAAGATTTTTTAATAACGTTTTTGAACTTACACATTGATATCATGTACATGTATTGGTAGTCTATATAGTAATACTGTATATATTTTTGAAACATTTATTTTAAGAACACCTTAAGAACACCTTCAGGCTGTTTTTTCAGTAAACACCCATTAAATAAGAACAAAATCAGCCTCAACTCCAAAAATGGGGGTTCTTTTATGCGGGTTTTTACTGTACTATATTCTAGCCTAAACGTCTTACTCAAACTTACTTGTTCTGCAAGAGATTGTAGTGGAGTCACATAGACACATCTGTTGTCAGATCCCTGCTGTAGAAGACGTAGAATAGCAAACTCTGCACAGATTGTCTTACCACTGCCCGTTGGTGCACCAATAAAGACATTTTCATCTGAGTCATACAGTGTACCAAACACTGGAATGAATAAAACATCAACTAATATGGATTATCCTATTTTGCTTTTCATGCTGATTATGACTATAGTGATTATCATGTATCACAAGCCTATATTTCCAAACACATAACACAAACCATGCAAAACTGGAGTAAGTGTATTCCACAAACCTGGTGACTGGTGCACTATTACAAAGCTCTTATCTGGGGTACTTGAGCCTACCAATCGATGTTACATAATTCATTTAAATTCAGTGTAAGTTATAACTATCACTGTACCTTGTGTTTGAATGGGATTAAAATAAGGAAATTTATCTTTGTATAATGCCTCAAAAGCAGGGTTCCTAAGGGCTGACACAGGTAGTGGTTGCAGGTCCAGAAGTTCAGTTGGTGGTTGATTTTTCTCAGGAAGAATAAGATGTCGAAATGACACGGGCAGCTGGGTTTCTGATCCTGTAAAGACATTTGAATGGTTTATCTGATGAGTATTCGAGTGTAGCATTATAATTAATCCAGAAATCTTAAAAATCTAGCTCAATTATACATGGAAGCTTTTTTCATTTAGGATACCAGTAAGAGACCTTTGAAGGTGAAAAAGGAAATACCAAATAATAACAAATAATTGTTTAAAATTTGAGAAGTCCAAATTCTTTAGTAGTAAATTCGATAGTAAATAAAATATCTTTTCCCATTCACATTGCAACTTATTTTGCAATTTTTTTTGTTTAAAAAATGTTATTTCAGGATACCAAACTGTGGTCAAAGATAGAAAAAATAAAATGGTCTGCTCCAACAACCAATCAGATCAATGCACAATTTTTAGGATACAAGATTGGGAAAAAATGATTAGCTTCCTTAAACCATGTTTGTTTAATTAAAAAACCATTCCCACTCCTTAAAACCATGTCATCTTCCTTTGGATTAAAAGACCTACACTATACGCAATACTTACTGACTATTTGATTGAGGACTGACTGACTAATGTTCAAATAATAGATAAGGAGCTCCCTGCATTGTAACTTACCTAGCCATTTATCACTTACAATCCTTATAAAGTATTGTGGTGGAAGGGGTTCAAAGACTGGGACAAAGAACTTGATCACATGTTCATCAGTAGTATACTTGGCTTTGAGTAAGAAATATTCATGATGTAGAATGATTTCACTATCAACGTCCTCAACGAGAATCCAAAAGGCTTCAGAGTTTCCATGAACTTTCTCATCCCATTGAAAGTCAGGAGTCACTGTCAGCTCAACACTTAGAGTAGATCTGAAAATTGAAAATTATAATTATCGCTACTGAATTATGGCTTATAGTTTTCATGTGATACAATCATGATGTAATGAGTAATATTGAAAAAACATCTGCTATCATTGGTTACTATAATTGTATATTAAACAGCAAGGCATCTAGTGTCTTTATACAATTTGTTTTATAAGGAATTGAGTCATATGTGGAAAATGTTGTGGGTAAGGTAAAAAAACCAACTGGTTTTCTCAAGGTTTCTCAGTTTCTTGGGAAATCAAATCCTGGAAATGTGAAACATAACAAGCACTGTTATAAATGATGACAAATTTATGTCAATCAACATCCGTAACCACGAAGTATGTGCTTGCCTGGTGATTGGTTGAATATGTGTTGCCAGTTCCATCTTGGGTAGTTGATGAACAAACTTGTGTAGARTTTTGCCCATCTTTGGCATGTGAACGAGCTCACCAATTTCATTTGGTCCCAGATCATAATATCGTTCCCATGGAAATTCCTTCTTCTCTATTTTCTTGATTACTTCAATTGGTATTTTCTTAAACTGTCGCAAAGGAGTCATTGATAGCCACCTTTTTTTTAGAAGGAAACAAATCATTGATATTAGCCTTAACATTTTGTCAACTTTTGCAAATATTACATTACACAATTATGCCTCAGCATTAGTGACTGTGCAATGCAATCCATGTGTCTTAATGTCCATGCTCACCATTTGAGTTCACAATAGCTCAGTGGTTATTGTGTCCAACTAGAATACAGAAGGTTGTAGGTTCAATTCTTATCTGGACCTCTGAAATGTTTCCTGTCTCAGCACATATTTCCTTCATACTCATTAGTATAAAATTTCATTACTCATTTAATTTGATAATGCTTACAATGCCAAAAAAACTTTTTTTATTTTTAATGCTGAAGGCAGGCCCTTCTAGTTCTTTACAAATCCACAAAGGTTTGGTATGTTTTGAAACTTGTCGGGATACCATTGTTATTGCTTTCCTTTTCTCTTAAGGCTAACAGATTGACTTGATGAAAACATATATTATAGTGATTTTTGTTTTTTCCAAAAACTTAGAATATTATTAGAAAATTCCTGTTACAATTTTGGATAAGCTTTTGATTTGAAAAGTTTTTCTATTTACTAGCAAAGAATTTGAACTGATATTCAGGCCAACTCGCTCAAAATTGTGGAAAATGGTATTTTTTTGCTGGCAGTTTGGGGCATTGTACATAGGAAATAAATTGAAAATAAAAGTAAGAAAATATTAAGCACAGTCAGCAAAATACATTCCAGGAGTTTGGAAATGGGGTCTTTTATTTACATAGAAGAAGGGGGGTATAATGGGAATCTGAATACAGCAAAACCACAAAGGAAAAAGGAAAATACCACAATACTACAACATGTCAACATATCATTGGTTAAAACAGCTAATAAATATCAAGTATTTATTGGAAAAGCCTTAAATTACAAAAGGCTATGCAACAATGGCTTGACTTTTGTTTACAGACAAGACACTACTTGCCTTGACCTTGCATTTAGTCAATTCAACTAAAACAAATCTAATGATTGTGAGAGATCCAAATGAAAACTGCACACTTTTTTCACCTAAAATTTATCACAACTGTAATCTGTGTAGTCTTGTAAAAGTGCAATACAGCAGGTTAAAATAAAAAATACCAAAAAACTGCAAGGCAATAAGACAATACTGCATCACCATGAACCCCTATGTTCCCCTCATAGTAGAAGCTCTTTTGATCATATCTTTTTGTATGTTTTGAACGTTTAAATATACCCCTCTCCACCTGAAGAGCAATGAAGCAATATAAAAAATGGCAAATACAACACATCTTTTTAAAGTATAAAACACATACATTCTCTTGTCCACCATTTTGCTTAGGTTCAAGGTTTTCTCTGCAAGTTGAGCCCAACCTCTGTTTAGGACTATTTCAAATATGGCTCTCAACAATCTACCAGCAGACTGAAAAAAATAATTAATTGTTTCTATATTAAGGATAATAATGGATATTCACCCTTTTCCTGGCAAAAACGTGTGAATGCAAACACGGAAAGCTGTCAAAAAGAAGCCATATTTTAATAAAAATAAATTGATCATCACCATTTTTCATATAACTCTAGCTTACTTAGCATTACACTTTAGGTTGAAAATTAGAACTACCAAAATGTTACGTTTTGTTATTAGTGCAGTTAAGTATGTTACGAATTAATACTAATGCATGATTGGTTCTCAATGTTAAACAAGATTGAAATCAGAGCTATTATTCAACCAAACAAAATAGAGCAGTACTATCATAAACTTGAATACTGTTGCCCATGCCTAAACCTTGTTAAAACAACATCAACTGAGTTACAGAAACTTTGCAAAAACTAATTTGTAGAATAATCTTTTCAAACTACTTGATACTTAATGATGACTTAAGGTTACTGGAGAGCTTCGTGAGTAACTTTCCCAATAACAATTTTTTTTAAATAATACATAAGCTTACAGGCTGATTTTACATTTTCAACAATTTTTTTAATATTAAATAATTATATTGTGAGTAACAAACACACAATTTGAAGAAAAAGTAAACAAATCACCGAAGGCATAGTAATCCTCCTTTAATTCTATTAGAGTAGTGCTGGTAACCCTGCACAACTTTTCAACTCTCTTATCTATCTGGTTTCTGGTTGGTTGGCAGTATCTTTCTGTTGACAGACATCTTAATGAGGTGTGAAACTCTCCCAAAACTTTAAAGCTCAAAATCTTTATGACCAATTTTATGCCAATTCCCTATCTTTAAATCAATTAATAAGGTATATGAGTTTTGTTCAATATCAATGAAATTTGGCAAAAATCAAAGATAGGTATGGATAAACAAAAGAGTGTGAGCGATTTTTGATATTTAGAGTATTTCGTCTTTAATGCAGTAAAATGTCAACCGACATTGAATTTTTTCGAAATTTCAACTTTAAAACTAATTGATAACTTTTTAAAAAAGCAAAAAATCAAAAATCGCTTCTCATACACTTTTATGGATTATCTATTGCTCATTCACATGGTGAAAGTTTTTTTGGCTGTATGTGCTAAATGCCATGTCTAATTCACATCTACAGAATATACTGGATTCGTGTTTATGGCTTCGGCATGGTTTCAAATTAGAAAATCGCTTTCAAATAATGTATTTTTGGTAATTTTTATTATCACCTGACCTTTAAAATGATAAACAGTTTTATGGGGTTTTGTTGAACATGTTGCGTAGAGAGAGTTTTAAATATAGCATACCCCTGAAAGTCTTCAGTAATCTTAAATGATAATCAACATTTATTTGATACTGACAAAAATGCTCCAAATTTTAATCCCCAAACTTTAATATCAACATAATTCAACGTGGATTAGATGAATCCAGAAATATGATCATGGTATTTGTATATCTAAATATTTATTCACCATTTTCCAGACATCGGTTCACTGGTCATACACAAAGCATTCAGTTGAGGTTACAAGGTTCAAATTTGAATAATCCTTTGAAAGTACCTTGCCCCCTCACTTTAGTGCTTTGTGTTTGACCAGTGAACCAATGTATGAAAAAGGATGAATAGCAGATATCGAAGTTACAGTCTGTTGTATTCAAACAATTGTTTCAAGTCGAGGCATTTGGGTCAATACAATGAATGTAAAAAAACTGACCCAAATGTAACAATTGTCTGGAGGCAATAGAGCGTAACTCCGATATCTGCTATTGATCTGAACCACAAATCTAGAAAATTAAAACTTTTAAAATTGACATTAAAATTCAATGAAGATTACCTGAGTTATGTACACCATGTCAGACATCAAAACAAATCCCTCTAGCTTGAGCTGAGATATGTAAGACTGTAACAAGACATTAACCTGCAGATAGGAAAAAATAAACCTTTTATTAGAGGGTAGGCAGGGTAATTCTTCTTAACACCTCTTGGTTATGACAAGATTGTCATGTATAACTGGATCACCTGGATCACATGTAAAGAAGTAAAAAAAATTATTTCATAGTTGACATGGTTCTTTTTTCATGAAGCCAAGGAGGGATTTGATAACCCTCAGAAAAAGAAGTGTTGATTTATTGAATGGTCAGTCATATCTCAGTCTGTGCATTTGCATTGAGACAAAACAAAACAGCAAAATTCAACTGACTGGAATAAATGGTTACTAGGTTAAGGTTGGTGCCTACTAATTGCGAACCATTTTAATTTTTTTCAAATTGTGCCAGTCATTTCAATCACCTAAGAGGCCACTGGAATCCGAAAAAAAAATTGGGGGTACCCAAACATCTAAACGAGATAATTGATGTTAAACACCGATGATGTAAGCACTCTTTTACGCAAGGGGAAAAAATCATATTACGAAATTGTTTTGATCGATTTTATCTGAAACTCGTTTCAAATAAACGACTATTTGTGCTCTTTGTATCAAATATATAAACTTTTATGTATCATATGAGAAACCATTTTTTTAACCAAATTTTGCCTTCAAAAGTGTAAAATGTGGTTCTAAAGGGATGCTACATTTTTGCTTACATTTGCATCCAAAACCATTTTTATTTTAAAAATTCTATTATAAAAAATAATTGAACTATTTCTGTTACATATTGGACGGAAAAAAATGGGGGGTACCCACGTGTTTTAAAAAGTTATGATTTTGTAAAATATTTTTGTGAGTATAAATCGGTTGCTAAAATTGTGACAAGCGTGACACGTCGTTACGAATCTACGAGTTTTTTGAACTGCTTAAAACACTCATGAACAATTTATAAGATTTTGGCTCAACTGGAGTCACCATACACGTCACGAACATGGATTTTTATACTTCGATGGAGATTTGACGTCACGGGCATGCACAACTAGATTCAATAGAAGCTCCCACACATTGGGTATTGCGTGCCAAGGCAAAGACAGGCACGTTACTCAAAGATCATTAGGGTTGACTATGACCTTGATGAGGCTCTAAGTCTTCATCTAAACTTGGATGCATACTTCATCCCTGATGAAGTCATCCTCATAGTATTAGAGTGGTCTTTATATAAAGACACATGTGTCTTTATATAAAATCACTTGAATACTAATGAAGAGGACTTTATCGGGTAAAAAGGTTCATGCACGTGACGTGTATGGTGGCTCCAATTGGACCATAAGCTTATGAATTATTAATGAGTGTTTTAAATACATCTAATAAAGGTTGATTGATTGATTAGTAACCTTAGCACTGGGCTCTTCAATGCTCTCTTTTACTGGAATTGGTACTCTTTCAAGCAGTTTGGTCAACTCTAGCTTTTCTTCCTTTTGAAAAAGAATAGATAATACATCATTAGTAAAACAAACTCTGAAAGAGCTCAACTGGGAAAATATTAATGTTCAATATTAATTGCAGAACTTTAGGTTGTCTAGGATGTTTTATGCTTTTCAGGCTAATAATAATGTTCTTTTTCCTTCCTTTCAACTATGGCCAATCTTTAAAATTAACTTTTCAGTATCACACTGCAATATTTTGCAGCTGTTGTAAAATGTAACTGTAATCTTTGATTGATTTTTCCCCCCATGCAGGCCCTGCCACAAGCCTTGCATTAGTGAGAGGACAGCCCCTTAGCAGTTTATACCACCCATATTGAGTCTAAGAATTAGTTTCAAAGGGTTATTCAAATCATACTAAAATTAATAGGATAATTAGTGATTCTTGATGACCTTACCTCTCTGACAGTAATGTACTTGAATTCTGATGAAAGTGAAAAAACCCTAAACAACTCAATCTCACTTAGGGTTGGTTTCAGCAAGCTATTAAATGTAGAGATTGTTTCATGGGTCAGGTAGTAATGGCTGGCAATGCGCCCCAATTCTGTGGTCTATAACAGGAAAGACAAAGTTGCAATGATGTTAGTGATATCAATAGGCATTACTACAACATAAATCTGAAATTTAATGGCATACTTTTGTCAGTGAGAAAGAGCAACAGTTAAATGTACACATTTTGATGATTTCATCATAAGAAAGGACAGAAACAAGTAATCGTTGAGCAGGAAAACATTTTTGTATACAAGTTAGTATGAAATAAATAGATCTTGCAAATGATGTTGCTTCAATTAGTATCTGATAGTTTTTATGCAATTAAGATTAATGAGAACAAAAGTTGATTGTTCCACAAAACAGTAAAGGTCAATCTTTGATTTTATTCAATCAATTCACTTTGCCCTTATAGCTTGCTTCTTTTTGTTCTGCAGTCATAATATTAAAAACCGTACTGTTGGCCCTAAGCACAGAGTTGGTGTAGACAAGCAAAACAAAGAATATAACACCATAATTCTTAGAGTTATTCAGTCATGCAATAGTCTAAAAGCATAAAATTTTTGGGGTATCTGATAGTTTTGCCTACACATTGGTTTCACCTACTGAAGTTCACCTACGTATAAGTTTCACCTACTGAAGTTCTCTTACGTATCAAATGCATGGTAAAACCTATCTATGTTTGTTCACAAAACCCAAAACACTGTGCGCAGGGCCTGTTCATTGATCTTAAATAATATACACAATAAATATAACAAACCTGGAAACTGCCAGTCTTTTTATCATACTTTATTAAGTTATTTTTGTCTAACAAAACTGCAGCTGAGTGAATGAGATCTGCTCTTCTCTAAAATGTGATGCAAAAAAAAAAATTCCATTATCAATAACAATGACCTAATGTAAAACTGATTCATTGTTTGCAATCCTGTTGTCCTGCTATGACCCTCCCCCTTTATCCACCCCCTTCCCCCCTCCTAATTTTTGACCAGTCCCTAATAATACTGCAATTCATTAATTGCTTGCTTATGGTTTTTCATTCCAAGTGACTTTCACATTATTTGTCATTGATTTAGTGGGAGTCTTTAGTTTGTACCTATCTAAGTGATGATATCCTAATTTGTGGGCAAGTCAATCTGTTAGTGCAGCACTACTAACCTGTTCCAGCAAGTGGTCTTTCCCTGCTTCATCAACTGATATGCCATAAAGTGGAGGGTTACGCAGCATACGAATATACAAGTAAGTGTATCCTGGAATAAAAGGCAAACTTTTACATCAGAACTCTAACATCAGAACTCTAACATCAGAACTCTAACATCAGAACT